ATAAGAACTTGCTTATTTAATGAGTTTGCCGCAGCAGTAAATATTAGTGCTGTTTTACAAAAAGGAAAAGTTGTACAAAAATCTGTGTCCCTAAATATTCTCTTCGGCCAGGGTCGGACCCGACCCCTGGTTTGGAATCAAAACCGGGAGCCAAAACCGAGAGAGCCAGTGAGCTTCACCCTCGTTCCCAGCACGAAAACCCTGGCAGATCTGCAGTGTAATCTCCTCTAAACACTTTTATTAAGACTTCTAATTGCAGCTCGGCTTTCTCCCTTCAGGAGAACAGGCAGAGGAACAAATACCGAGCTTATTCATCGCACAACAGGCTGCAGGCGCGTAGCAAAGCAGAGGCACAAGGCGCTTTAGCTGCACACTGCGGCTACAGAGCTCGGCAGAGACACTCCACTGATTCACGGCGTCAGCCAGACTGACAGAAACAGGCATTCTCAAGAAAGTAGCCCGCCCACATCCAGGTAAATGCAGCAGGAACCGTAACAAAGCAGAAACCACATTCCCAGTATAATTCCCGATGACGGATGCATCTCCATGCCAACGCGGTCCTTTCATACCATCTCATTCCTCCCTTCACGTTCGACTGGAGCAGTGAAAGCTTGGGAAGCAATCAAACCCAAGCCTGAAGGAAATCTTTCATTTCATCCCATCACAAAGCAGTCAGTCATTTTCTTTGTTATTTCTCCAGTCAGATAGCTGTATTCTTTTATTTATTTATTTCTGCACATTAAAGGATCTGCACTAATGTGTTGGCAACGCTCAGGCACTCCAAAAGAAGAGACTGCACTACTTAAAAGATAATGAGGAAACAATCTTGGCAGATGCAATTGATCCCACTGTTTTAAAGCACAAGGATTATCAAAGGATTATCTAACAGTAATTATGCACCTAAGGTCGACACGCAGCTTTCATGTTCACTTACTGAGTGGCAGCTGAGGCGTAAGAGAGAAGCAAGGTACTGACTAAAGGTAAGGGTGCGTGAATGCGTTTCCATGTGTGCTCGTGAGTTTTGCCTACAAGGGGTGAAAGAGCTCCCTATGAACCTAATCGTTGCTAAGTCGCATCACAAACCCCGGCCTTCCTTATCGGTACCAAACACATGGCGGTAAAGTCAAAGCAAGCGGAGATATCTACTCCGCCTGCAGCAGCACCAACTTTTGGAATCCCCCAAACGGATAATCTGAAGAATCAGGGAGGAGAGTGGTGAAACCCGGAGACTTCCAGGGTTTGTGTGCGCCATAGGGTAGCATGAACAAACCCAGCTTAAACGACATAAAATATTGTGTAAAAGGGCAATGTTTCTTGCCAATCACTTCAGAAAGTGAAGCTAAGCAAATTTTGATGATTATGGGTTACAGACTATGACGTTCCAAAATTCAGTATCTCAGAAAATTTGAAAACCGTGAAAAAGGTTATTAGTCAAAACTCATAGTGTCAAAACACCTGCAGACGTTTAAACAGTCTCTTATTCTAGGCTACACCATCATTAAGGGAAGTCTGCTGACTGGACCGATGGCCAAAAGACAGTGACTGACACACTTCACAAGAAGTGTAACCCACGAAAGGTCATTGCTGAAGAAACTGGTTGTTTGCAGAGCAAGCATGTTAACAGAAAATTGAGTGGAAGGAACAAGGTGTGCCAGGAAAAGATCTGGAGGAAAAGTGGAGACGTAAAAAGTCCAGTGTGAAGTTTCCACAATCAATGATGGCTTGGGGTGTCATGTCGTCTGCTGGTGTTGGTCCACTGTGTTGAGTCTGCAGTCCATGCAGCTGTCTACCAGGAAAATCTAGAGTACTTCCTACTCTAGAAGGAAGCGCCATGAGTTGATCGCCTCCATGCCACGGTGCATTGATGCAGTTATTCATGCAAGAAGAGGCCCAAACAGAAATGTACAAACCTTTCAGAAGTCTGACATTTGTGCATCAATTTTTGATTGGCCTAATATGATATTCTAATTTCCTGAGAACCTGAATTACGGGTTCTCTTTACCTGTAAGCCATAATCGTTAAAACTGCAAATAAACTTGAAATATTTTACTGAATGTGCAATAGATCCCTATAAAATAACCGTTTTGATTTCTGAGATGGCTGACAAGAAATATTAAACATTAACGCAGTATTTTTGAGATGTACTGAGTGACATTTCAATGAGGATTTTAGAACTGAGTCCTTCCGTCATTAACTGTGTCATTTTGTTCTGCTTGGCCTTCCATTACTTTGTTTTTCCAACAAAATGTGGTCGTATTTAAATTTCCTGAATGTCAGCCAAACAAGACATTTGACAGCACATTTCCTCCCTCTGCTGTTATCTTTCAGATTTCATACTCCTGTCATTTTAGCACCTACGCCTTGCATTCTTTGACAATGACTGACAGGCAAGAGAGCAGTGCGGACTCAAAGCAACAGTGAAAAGCTTGTGTAAAACTTTTTAAAGTAATCGGAATAGTAAAACACGGCATGGTCGAAATGCAGATCCTGGAGCGAGGCGGACTGATGTGTTATGCAACTAGCAAGCCGCTCATGTTGTATGTATGTTGGAAGAGTGAAAGCAGCCAGTTGATGGAACGACGTTGAGCGTCTAATGCCTGATTTGTCCGACGGATGAACTCTGGTTTGAGACTACAGTTACCGAAACAAAGTTTCGTTTTTCTTGGGTTCAGTTTTGGGGTTTATAACGCAACTTTCTTGCCACGACCTCAAAAATGTGGTTGGTAAAGGACGTTTGTAAAGACCCTAGAAGTAAAGAGATTGTTTCTTTCATTATTTCGGCACAAGTTCATGTCTGCGCAATTTAATATAATTTTATATCAAGGTTAAAGTTTCAGTAACACTTCTGAAAAAGTAAAAGAAAACCATCTAAACTATCGGCATGTTATATATTCCCATGTATTTTACATTGATGACTGTCGTCAACACAAACAAGTAAAGCAGTTTTCCAGTGTCTAATTAAATTTTTAAGTTAATCAGAATGACTGAAAACTTTTACTAAGTGATCCTTGGCTTCTGGTTTTGCTTGAATGTAATTTTAATGCCCATTTCTGTAAGCCACCTTGCAAAATAGGAAAGACAAGAGAACATGTCTTTCAAGCAAGGCAGGTGAAAATGGCTACATTTATGTAGATACCAATAATTAGGAAAGGTCAAAACCAAAATTGTGACAAACAAATATGGACAAATGCTCATGTTTATCTTGTAACGTTGCATGATAAGCAGGATTTAGGGGAGGCAAAAATTATCGAAGCTCTCCATTGGAGAACTGTAGTAAAAAGAAGCATCTTGGTGTCACTAAATCTTTTTAAACAATTTATTTGAAGACTTTTGCGAGCACCGTCACCAGGAGCGCCAATTAATGTTGAAGGTACTTCAACAATTATTGAAGTGTTCAGTCGTACACACTTGAAAGCAGATATTTGCATACATAACAACCTTTTTCCTCTCTGTCAGGAAATGTTTAGGATTTTACACATTATTTATATTTGCTAAATGTCAAAAATATGAGAATTTTAATTATATAATTGACTTATATGATGCTTATTATGTCTGTTTTTACAAATTGGGAAAGTCGAGATAATGGTGTCATGATCTTGTAAGCTTTTGATGGGTTTATTTGCAACATATGTTTTGCTTCTTTCTGTGATTTTTTGGAAAAATCTGAGGAAATAAACCAAATGGCCAGAAGGAGAATTCGTGGAAGTTCACAAAGATTGGTACATCTTTGAGTCAAATTTCCAGATTCCTGAAGGTGCCACAATTTATCTGTTCAAACAATTTTATGCAAGTATAAACATTGTGGGATTCAGAAAGAAGACAGGTTTTGCATTCCAGAAATGAACTCGCTTTGCTGCAAAAATGAAAAGCCTTGTGAAGAATCTTAAAGCTGGTGAGAGAGTATTATTATCCACGGTGAAGCGAATGGATTTAGGGACAAAAACCCTTCATTTTTCAAGACAATGTCCTGTGGTCTCAAGAAAACGGAAATTGAACTGTTTACTCTTAATGAATGTTGGAAGAAAAAGGGGAAAGGTTGCAAGCCTGAAGACACCATCTCAACTATGAAGCACAGAAGTGACAGACATGTTGTGGGTTAGTTAGTTTTGCTGCGTACGACCTTGTGCACTTTGCAATATTATATATGACATTATGAAGAAGAAAGACTGAAGCAGCATCACAAGACATCAGCCAGGAAATTAAGGCTTGGACACAAATGACAGCAACCCCAAACAGACAGCCAAGTTAGTTACAAAGTCACTCAGGAGCAGCAAAATCAACATTTTGAAGTGATCGTCACAAAGAACAGAACTGAGTCCACTGAAACTTTGTAAAAAGAGCTGAGAAGATGTGGGCAACTAAACCTACTCAGTTGCACGAGTTCAGTGAAAATGAAAAGAGAGATATTGCAGCAAACTATTAAAAGAAGGTTGTTGAATGACCAAAGTCATACAGATCAAAAGGAAATTCTACCAATCAGCAAGTAAATATTTATATCAACTTCTGAATGTGAAGAAAGTCTATACGAGATCTCAAAAGACTTATTAAGCTGATATAATGGGTCTTAATTAAATAGAAAGAATTTTAGTAATTGCACCTCAAACAGAAAAAAAAAGTGTTTGATATCATATCACATAGTGAAGGAACGTTTATGTGCCACTGGACAACCCAAAGTATCCTTTAAATGACCTGTTTCCTTTAGCAATGAGTTAACATTTAACTTCAGCTACACTTATTTCTCAATTGTTTTAATATCTTAGCGTCTGCAATCTTATAAAATATATAGAAAATGTCAAAAATTCAAACAGAAATGTCCAACACCTCCAACCCCCAAAGAATTACTACACGTACAAAAATACTTCATACGAAAGTCAAAATCGCTTTTTAAAGCCTCTTTGTATGGGTGAAGTAGCTGTAGGACGCATGTCTGATGGGACATGTCGCATGGAGAGGTGGAGGTTTTAAAATCTGCCTCTGACACAAAGGGGTGTGAGGCTCACCAGTTGTGGAGGAAATGTTGACGTCGATGCTGATCTCAGGAATGCCTCCGCCCTTCAGCGCAGCCACACAGGTGTAGGTGCCAAAGTCGGTAAACTTCAGGTCTATGATGTCCAGGTTGGTGGTCCCGGGCGAGATGTCGGGGTCCGTCTGAGTGATGACCATGCGCTCTGAACTCCGAAGGGCACGGCCGTTCTTTAGCCAGCTAAATGTCAGCTCCTCTGGCGGTGTCGCTTCCACCTAAGATATGCAGCTCAGTGTTACTGGACAGCTAATTTATCTTATTGTGTTCATGCTTTTTATATATATATATATATATATACACACACACACACACACATATATACATATGTCACACCTGACAGGATATCTTGACTTCACGCCCAATCTGGATGTTGTCATCGTTGTGGTAAGGGTCAGGGGTGATCCAGAACCGTCCTTTCTTCAGAGCTGTAAAGGAATATTTATGTTAAGAAACGTATCCACCTTTGTACACAACACATGTTGCCAGAGACGTTTATTGTAGCTTATGGCTCTCCTTGTTATATTGACGCAGTGTTTGAAGTGTACTCCACAGGACAGGATTTTATAGATTTTCAAATAGATTTTTCTTCTGTTCTTCATTTCAACCTTTCCCAGTGCACATACTTAAACTGTGAATCAGTGTACCCTGCCTCTAGTGAACATGTTGTAAATATAGGAGTTTTGATCGCTCCTTTAACAGTCTGCATATTTATCTTTAGTTGGAAGCTTTTAAAGCTAGTTTGGTAAACAGATCACCATATTGGCTTGTCAGGAAATGCTCTAAGTTAACTTTCAATATACAGCGTGTGCTGTGTAGTAAGCCGAGTCACTTTCTTCTTTTCTTTTCTTCGGGGCTCCATATTCAGATAGAGTTTTCATTTACAGTACAAATAACTTTTGCAGTGACTGATCAAATACTGCATTCCACATAGATGCAGATGACAACATAATATATTGTTAATCTTTCTCCTTAGTTCAAACCCTTACATTTATCCAGCCTATATTTGATGTTTAGTTCAATTTAACATTACTTGTGTTCATGCTTTAAAAGAAAGTTTGTGGTTTGTTCGAATGCCATAAAGTTACGTAATTCCTCTAAAAACACAAACTGTTTAACGGGCTAACTTTGAAATGGCAACTTTTGATTTGAGATATGTAGGCATCCTGTTTTAATAACAATTTGACATTTAAACATGAATTCTAACAATTTGTGAGTTAATTGAGAGAAAAAATAAAGTTTTTTTAAAATGAGAAATTTTTTTTTCCTCACCTGTTTTTTGCCTATAGTTTCCACTCTTTGTAAATGCACCAGTCAAATACCTGAACAGACTTTTTTTTAAAATGTATTCTATACTATTATAATTCTTGCATATAAGTGGGTTATAGTAGAATTGGGAATTTCCTATGTACATATACTAAATACCCATGTTTGTATCTGCATTCTTTCTTATCGGCTGCTTTTCATTTGTACATCTCTGGTTGGGGTTGGTAGCTTTTTATCTCCGTGTTTTCATGTGTAAGCATCACACAAAGTATGACCTGCACAGTCAAGGTATTTGATAAATGTCTGTTCTCAAAGTCAGAAAAGTCTGTTCTCAATTAGAAAAAAAAAAAGGTTTTTAAATATGCAGCCCCTGTTTCCTGGAAAGATTTACAAAATGACCTGAAAATGCCAGAACTGGTTACTCTGGGAAAGTTTCAGTTAATGATTGTGGAATAAGAGAAGAGTTCATCCTGTCAGTGTGACTGTTTCTGTTTTAAACATGGTTTGGCCGCTCACTGCACTGTGTTTTATTTATTGTATGTTTTGCTGCCTCTATGGCCGTGTCAAAAAAAGAGAGATTTTAATGAATGCTTATAGACTGCAATGTTTAATCACTGAACTAATTCCTGAAAGTGAAACAAGTTTGTATTTATTCTTATTCGTATCTATAGTCTCAAAAGGTTGATATATTGAAGTAAAAAAAAAAAACATGTTCCCAAACATTTCTACCCCAATTTGGTTTGCAAACTCTCTTTTTAAAACACAGCTCCTACTAAATGGGAAAAAAGATGATTTTATCATAATGTATGTTGTATCGGTTCCAACGCTTGCATGCTCTTCTCAAAAAAAAAAAAAAAAAACCCGACGGCGCCATGGAAGTCTTTTCATCTAGCAATTCCCAAGTGACATTATCATATTCAGGTTGGTAAGAGGGAAAACAAAAACAAAACCCCCCGTGTCAGATTTAAACACAGGAAATTGAATGTGCAAAACACATTGTGATGCCTGCCAAACTGCACACTGAAGGAGAGATGAGTGACACGCGCCTCCTTGGCATGATTTTCCCTCTCACTTTTGAAATCAGCGTCGGCAGACGGAGAATCCTATTTCTGATGCATGGCAGATACAGAAATTGCAATCATGTCAACACTCAGCAAACCCCGATGCATTTATTTTCATTCCTGTGCCTCCCCCCATATGTCTTTACGCTGTCAGGCTTTTCTTTTCAACATTGATGTATGTAATTCAATAATGCCTGCATGGAAAATGTGTCATTTAGTGTAATACAGTGTGTCACACATATATGTGACCTTTATGGAAACAAGAACAAATCTTATTACCACATCCATCCCTCCCCCCGCCCCATTTTGGGTAAGCTGTACAGCACTGTGTACATCCACAGCATAAATTTCAATTTGCCTAAAGCTAACATACATGGCGTAAGGTTAATGAGACAAGACAAAGTCCATAGTGGAAGCCATTATGTAGGCATGTCTGGAAGGAAGCACATATTTTCTACTACAATGCATGTCAAAGGGAGCAAATGTCCTGAGGCAGAGTTGCACACTCATTGTTCAGACATGGCTGTACATCTTGACAGCTTGGAAAGGCATTTGTATCTCAGTGGCGGGCGCAGAAGAGTTAGTGGCCGTGTCATAAGGAAGCATTAGATTCAAATACACCGGCGGACCTGCACACCCACACAGCCCATCTTTCTAAGTCACTGTGGTGTCACAGGTGACAGCGGATAAACATTTGGGTTAAGTTCCACCTTTCTTTTGCTTTACTGTTGTCAAAGTGTTCCTGTCTGAGCGCAGGAGACTGTGCAGCAACTACGTGTTGTAGAGTCACTCAAACAGTTCCCCCCCACCCCAAAAAATGTAATTCCTTTACAATGAATTTATTTTTTTAAAGCTGATATATTCTTTCAACTATCTATGCTATTTTTTTTTTGTTTACTCACATAAAAAGCCAAGCAAGTAACTTTATTTTCCTTTTTTTTTAATAAGTCTGGTTTGGAAAAACAAGGCAAAAAAATAAATAAATAATAAAAAATACTAATCTTGTATTCCTGTCCTTGCAAAGTTTCCATCTGGAGTCAGATTCAAGATACAATTTAAGCTAATGTCGCCCATTACACTTCCACTCTGCTTCTTGTGGTCATTTATCACTTCTCAATATAAACAAACACTGGAAATCGCAGCGGTATCATCCTAATCAGAGCACAGAAGTTATAATTGATTAATATCACAATCTCCTCCATTTTCTGTTTACTAGTAAAATGTGGAGATATTGGTCACTGAAAAGACAGACTGGGAGAGGAAAGCAATAAATGCATTATTTTTTTCATGTGCAGGACTTTTTAAAAAAAAAAATTGAAAATCAATTTCTAAAACTGCATGCAGATTATTTAGATACAAAAAGTAATACTTGCATTTTTACGTCACAACAATATTATACAACAATGTTGTTTGCTACTTTTTACAGAATATTCTTCCAATGAATCAGCCTTCCTCATTTCCGCACACAGCCACGGTGCATTCATGCATATTTTAGGATTCCTCCCCGTGTTCGCCACATTCCAAAAAATCCTTTCCTGCCACTTTAGCTAAGCATAAATAATAAATAGCAAGTAGGTATTCCTGTAAATCGACTACACTTGTGTACACAGAGATAAGCGGGCATTACTTCAGTTGGTTGTAATAAACATTTTCTGGCCTGATGCAAAGACTAAAATGCCGTCTGTTCACTTATGCACTGGAAATACGCAAAAGGATTTTTAAAATTTTTTTATTATTATTATTTTTACGTGATGGATTTCGAAAAGCAGATGGGGAGGCCAGTGCTGAGTCGGGCGACTTTATGTGGTGACGGTAAGTTGTCACTCTTCCCATTCCTGATACAGCAACTCGCATGAATCTTTAATAAGGACTCTGGTTGGAAACAGAACTTTCCCATTTACTTTGGAGGTAAACTGTTTCCAACTACTCTTACACGATTTCTACAAAATCATAAATAATAGCTCACGGTAGCTGTATGTTTCACTTCTATAGTCGGAGTTTACAGACAGGTAGATAAACATATGCAGACTGCATGTAAATCCATCCAGTTTCCACAGACGCGCAGGCATGACCGCTTCCACATTTAAGCTGCTGAGAGCAGCGGCGGGGTTATTTACCAGCTTTGTTTCTAAGCCGTTTTCGGAGAAGTTCCTCTTCGTTATTGTCACAGCTTAAATCATCTTCTTACATGTGTAGCGAGGATCAGGGTGCTACCGGTGGATTTTTATGACGCAACTGTGTGCATTTACGTCTGCAGATTCTGTGTCAGAATCTCAGACAGCAGTGCACAAAGTAAGATGACGGGTGTTTTGTTGTGGAAATGCTGAGGATTAGCTCCACTCACATATGCCGAGCACATATTAACTTAAGATAGCTGGAAGTTAAAGCCTGAAGGTTCAGAAGTGTCCCGGCTGTTTTGGGTTTGGTCACTAATAGAGGCGAGAGCCTTATTCTTGCGCATTTTTAAGCTAAGCCAAATATATAGACTAATATGTCATTCTGACCTGGACGTGATCAATGACGTGTAAGAGAATTGCAAATAAACTTGGATTTATTTTTGTTGCTATTGATGTTTTCCCCATTGTTCCAAAACACATGAAGCAAAAGTCATGTTGTGTAGGTTAATACAGTTTTTAAAGTCTTACAATCTCACTGGGAGACGTGTGAAACGAGGCCTAATTTACTCCCAAGTCATGCTGCAAACCTGTGCTGAAAGAAACACATGACACTGTTTCATTACTATTAGTGACATTTGAGCTCACTGCACAGTCCAACAGTGTTTGAGTGTTATTTTCAACAACATCGTGCACACACACACACACGCGTGCACACGTACTTTGGGATGTTGCCTCTGCTTCAAGTGTAAATAATTAATAACCTCTAAGAGCAAAAGGGCTTAGAAAATGATTTTGACTGCTGTTTTCTTTTATTATTGTTCCTAGATAGAAGTCAGGATTGTTTCAAATCTGTATCAGTGGCGAAAGCTTTACAAAATGTCCCAACTGGAAATCGGCCAAAAAACAAAACAAAAAAAAAGCCTGATCAGTTCAGCTTTAACAAGCACCATGAAATAGTGTCTTAAAAGTGACAGCATGCACTTT